GTAGAGATTTCAAGCTGTAAAATGCTTTTTTGAACATCTTGATACGATCATTTTTGACGAAGTTACACTCTCTTGAATTTTGCCTATTTTTGGAGGGTAGAATAAGTGATGCTTTAATTTTGTTGAGAAGTGTATATTGCATAATTTTTTATTTTTAAATTATAAAATTTATTTTAGATATTTTTAAATTAAAAAGTTGTTTTTTATGTAAATAATAAATAAAATAGCAGAGAAAAAAGAAAAAAGGAGTATGGCAAAACATTTTTTTATCAATATTTAATTTGATTTGAAGATTGAAAGTGTTAATATATTATGCAAGTAATATTTTTAAATAATTTGTAATTGCTTTATCATCTAAAAATATTAATAGTAAGATATAAAATAATAAATTATTTTATATCTAAATACTTTTTATTAGTTTATATGTATAAACAATATTCGCTTATAGGAGGTGATGGCTATTTGCACATTTATATTGAAATATTTTATTTTATTTAAATATGTACATGTTTACTCAATAATTACATATAGAGATAAATTTACGTATAATCTTAAAAATATATTTTTAAATAAGATAAGAAAGTCTCTTTTTTTTATTAAATAGCATATTGGTATTTTCAATTTTTTTTATTTGTGTACACTACATTTTTCTATCTTATCTGTTGTGCTTAATATTTATTTTTCTATAAACCACATATTAAATTACTATAATTATCAAAGTTTTAAAAAAGTTATTAATCAAATCAAATTAAAATGAATAAAATTTTAAGTTTTTTCACTTTTTTATTGTTTTTATTTGTAAATAATTGTCATATCTTTTCACAATGCTCATAATTCTAAATTTGTTTTTCAATTTCTTTAGTATTACCAACTCTATAATCAACTTAAGATTGTATAATACATTCATAGTAATTCGTATATACTATCCTCTTTAGCTTGAACAAAAAAATATCACAATGTTTAACTAATTTTTTATTCTGTTTATATATATCAACAGTTTATCAAGATATCCCGTCCGAAACTGATATCCTACTACAGAAGGTATCGGACACTTTGTCTAACGTATTACCAACTTCATCATCCCCGATATCAGAATCGTTGTTGCCTCTCGGGATAAGTTATACATCCACGCAAACAAACGTTGCCGCTACTCCCAATGGTTCCGCAATCAAGTTAGAAGAATCTGTTGGGACAAAGGACGAGTCCAACGAGTTTTACACATCATGCAACAATCTTTCAATAGAAAACGCCTTGAGTGTCAGCACACCGAATATAACTACGGTGAACTCGCAGCAAGATACTTCCGATTACGTATCAGCGATGGGCGAGGACTTGTCGATCAGTGACTGGGAATATCAGCTTCCGGCTCCGCCGAGTGCCTTCCGCGATTCTCATTCACCTACTTTTGATGATTATGATACAGTCATGTTAGGATCGGTGGAGGCTTTTAAGGAACCGGCAGTAAGCCCAGTTACAAAGATGATTGATGTGACAGATAATAGCAATAAGAACCTCAAATCGATAAAGAATTTATCGAACAACGTTGAAGTGAATTGTGATAAAAAAGCTTCAAATGAAAAAATGGACTTCGTATCTGAAATCGACATTAAGCAAATGATGAACAAGCTTGTCGTTAAACAAAGGCTCACAGCTTCACAAAAGTCGGAGACTGATTCGGACTTGCGAAAAGAGATAATCTCGGAATTGGAGAACAAGATAGAAACTAGTACATTGGCGCCGACTATTAATAAAGATTTCGATCGAAGAAATATAGACAACTTATCCGCACCAGAGCTAGCACCCGTGGACAACACTCTGTCTAACTTCACTATTACTACTTACACCAAACAGAAGAGCTTGGACATTTTTGACGAATTTGAGGAATCAAACGACTATACGAGAAATTCGGAAGAAAGATTTATCAAAACATTTGCCACACTATCAAGGAATAATGCCAATACATGTAATCATGATAAGAAAAGTGAAACAAAGAATACACATAATTTAATTAATAATCTATCGCATAAGAAAACAATAAATAAATCTGAAGAATCAAATCCAGGTTACACTGATTATAAGATGGAGCCAAAGATTCGCGATCAGGGCGAGCTGTCCTACAAGAGACAGTCTCTCAACACGATCAATGATAAAACTAATATTCAGCGATCCAAGAGTTACATATCGATGTCTAACAACATTAAGTATCACAAGGAAGAAATTAATACAAGAAAATACGAGCCGCAAATTGAGCCAAAGATTACCGGTATAAAAAAAGCTATCAGCATTAATGATTTGAATGTTGATACATTAAAAGGTAATGAAAAGTTTTCACAATGGAGAGACAACATACTAAAGAATCAGGAAGAACCTACCAAAGAGAAGCAATTACAATCATTGCAGGTAATTTAAAATTATGAAATAGTAATTATAGGTAAATTGTAAGTGATGATAAATTCAATTCGTTACATTGAAAAAAGATATACTGAGTATGCAAAAAAACAAATAAATCATGTCCCAAAGTATGTAGATACTCTTGCAGAAATTGCTTTGTTTCATTTTGTGATTACTTCTAATTGCATCATAAATATTTATTAAAATATATTCAATAATTTAATATTATAATATATTCAATATTTGTTAACTATGTAAAATTATTTAAATACGTAGGTGCTGAAGAGCATTTTGCCGCAGTTGAAGAACGCTCAACAGGCGGAAGAAAATGTGTCCAAAGATCATGATAACGTGTTATCAATCCAAAGGACAAAGTAAGTATTTTTTGTATTTAATGTTTCTCTCAAATTTCACATTTTCACAAGACATGAATGGTATTTTAAATAAACTGAACTTCAAAAGCAGTAAATCTATCTAATCTTTTCGAAATATCATTTATGTTACTAATATATCCGAATAGTCATGTGATTTGAATAGGGACAAAAATAATAATTTGCATATTAGAATTCCCAACTTTTGTATTTTGTCAGATTTTGTCTTTTTTTAGATACTATATTCTGTATAACGTTAAATGAAAACATTTGTAAAATATTTTTACAATGTCATAAAGAAACATATTTTATAAAAGTTCATTATTATTATTTTTGTTCCTATCCCTAAACTTGGTTGTAACAAATTAAGATAATTGTATATATTATTTAAAAATATTAAAACTCAAGAAATAAGAAAAACATTTGCTTTATTGTAGTTTTATTGAATATAAAAGAAATAACACAAAAAATAATGTATTTTCAATAATATGAAATAATACGAAAAACAAAAACAAAATAAAAAACTTCTACTTAACAATTTAACAATCTTCTTTAGACTAGGAATTGATAAATTTGTTCTTCTTTCTGCTTTTGGCTTTAATTTTTATATTTGCTGATAAATCTGGGATAAAAGTAACATTGTTATATTTGTCTCTTGTTATTTTATCTAAATGATTGTTATTGTGTAAAATACTCATAGTAAATAATAACTTTTATGAAAGAGCTAAAAAAAGACTATTAAATACTAATAATAAGTAATTATAGAAAAAAGAATATATATATATATAATAATAAAAATAATAAAAATAATCACGATTGAAATATTTGTAACAAATTCTTTTATCGTAAATTTTTTAACTGCAATACTCTTTACAATTGTTCACCATATCTTGGCCATTATTAAAATAGGGATGCGTCGACAAGAATAAAAACAATTAACAATTCCAGTTGCGGATGTATTTATATTGGACGTTTTCAGATCTGTTACATTTGTCTCATGTTTTGCGTTTCGTGATCTCTTCTACTCTACTAGAAAATCATTTTGACTTCTTACTTCATTATTTTTGCTATAAAGACAACAATATACAGTTACTGCTAAATTTATTTCGAAATATGAAAATAATTAAAAAAAGAAAGAAAATTATAAAATGTCTCGAATCAATTTCTTTCTTTATTCTTTTATGTTTGATTCTAAAAATGATTAAGAATTATGGAAAGTTTTTTTTTATAAATCAAAAAATAGTGGTAATATTAATAGAATGAGAAAACTTTAACCGGGCATTCTAGGTTTTTCTTCTAATCAATTTTGTTGTAACATTAGTATTTTATAAATATATCGATTTTATTCTACATTTATTTAGCTCGATCTTTGATTACAATTTTGATTATAGTTTTATACAAATAAAATTTTATATGTTTTGTAATTTTATTTTGTAATAACGAAATGATTTTTTAGCAGATACGAGGCTGAGTCCAACGAACATTCGGTCAAAATGAATGTAGTTCCGACACGCGAATCTCGGAATTTTGAATCGCAACCTAAACACTCGCTGAAAGAAGAAAGCACAAAACGTTACGTTTATGCCGGTCCACCTGCGATTAGTCTGGGCAGTTGGTCAGAAAGACCTAGCGTTAACGTCCAAATCAAAATGGACACTGATTACAAACTGGGAAGAAGCAATACGATTAATGGTAGTAAGACCATCGTTAATATTAATAATACGAAAAACGAAAAGGATATTGCGAACTATACCGACAATATTGATAAGATTGTTAAGCATGAATTTAGTATCGATTCTTTGGCAAATAAAAATCCCGATGAATTAATCGCAAAAAAGTTAATCACACATACGACAGTGTCGAATTTCAAGATATCGAATGGAGGTAACACGTTTGATTTGACGAAGAACGAAGATAAACCTGTTGTAATGGGGGTTGAGCTGAAGAGAATCTCTGTCAAAACACCAAGGGAAATGCTGAAAAGCGATGAGAACGAAGTCGACATCACACCGACAAAGACGTTCGGTCAATATGCAAATTTTACACAGCATCTTAAGCGCACCAATATTAATAAATACTCGGCGGATTATTGCAATGCACAGCCGAATGAGACAGAAAGAATCACTAATTCGAATGTCAAGGAAAACGGTAATGGCTGGGTTGCGAAGACAACCAATCAAAACGACTTTTCGTTTAAAAATCAGTCCGAGATGCATGGCGTTCAGCAGAATTCACAGCCAAAAAGGTTTACATCCGTCATAGGCGTAAATAGGAGGACAAGCCAGAATCTTGGATTGCAAAGTGAAATGCCTTACAAGTGCAACGTCAACAATGCTGTAAAAATTAATCCATTGATGCCCGTTGTAAAAGGATTTAAAATATCCACCGCCGACTCTAAGACAAATAATAATCAGATAAATCACAACGGACTATCAGCGGTTGATAGTTTCAAAAATGTACAACCTCCTAAACCTCCAACAATGCCAGTGATAACAGGAGTGACGTTAAAAAACGCCAATGCGAGGCCCAAGTCAATCCAGTTAAATCCTAGGGATATGCTATTGGAGTCCATACGGAACTTCGGTGGTCGTGAAAAGCTAAAAAGCGTAAGTGTATTATAATGTGAACACTCATTGGAAGTTTTTTGAAATCAAAATATACAAAATCATGCTATATAGATATAGAAATAAACATCTTGAAATTCTTCTTTTAATGATTTGTGAACAATTCAATTGTATAGAGATTCCAATTTCAAGATTATAATTGAAAACCAAAATATAAAATATAAAGTAAGCTACAGTAATAAGACAAAAAGTATTAAGATAGAAATAATATATTTTCAAAAAAATATTCGAGAAACTTTTAATATTATTAAGCTTTTGCGGTTCAAATTATTTCTCGTAAATGAACGAAAATCAACAATTTCATTCTTAATTTCATCTAATCGACGAATCTAATATAAATCAACGAATTTTTATTACTATGAAGGAACTTGTAAAGATCCCAGAAATCAGTTCACTGATTATAACCGCGTACATATTCGAATGCTTGAAGAAATTATGCAATAGTTACGTAACGCATTCGACTCCAATTTGATAGGACCGCTAAAGATTAAGACATTAATAAGACAAAGGTTACAATTGATTTGGCGCTGACAACATTTATAAGCATCATCTGTCCTTATTTAATACTTGATAAACAATAAGAATGAAATTATGCTGTGAGCACTAAAACGCAGCTATTATAATACATTGAAGACTCTTAAAAATTTTTTGTTTCAGAATTCAAATTTTTTTAATGTGATTCTGTATGTCTTGAATTTATCAATTGTATAATTAATTAAATTATAATTTGGTTTTATTATTTATAGAACTATAAAACTTTAGAATTTTAATTTTAATTTCATTAATTAAATATTATATACAATATAATACAGCTTGAAATAGTTTAATAAAAATTGATATTCATTTTGTGTTGTTTGAAAGAAAAGATTCATTAAGATTGCATAATATTATATCTTTAATAACCGAGTAATTAATACTACTTTAATTAAAATTGCAATTTTTGATACATATTTTTACAAATAAATACTATCTTTTATAAAAATTATTTATTTGTGTCATTCATACCTATTGTAATAAAATTCAATAGAAATTTGTATATCATGTTTATAATGATGTTTATGAATAAGAAGAAACTTAAGAAGAAAAAAGAAGAAATTTAAGAAGTTTATAAGCTTCTTTTAAGAATAAAATGTAATTATGTAATTAATTAAATTAGAAAACAATAATTGTTTTTGTTTCAGACTACGGAGAGATATTAATTACGTGCAGCCATTATACATTTAGACAATCTGAGCAGAATGGGAAATTTGTAGCCTTCAAGATTTATAAATTTCTTCTATTTCTTATTATATTAAGATCTTGTGTTATATTAAAATCTATATCATTTGTTTTCAAATCGTTAAAAATATGAGAACATTCCGAAGATCTTTCTGTTTACGAGGGATATATGCAAATGGTTTTGAGAAAAAATGTGCTTAACTCTATAATACTATTAAAGGTTTTTTGATGTGTGCTAAGAAATTCAATTCGAACTTTATTTCTATATGTAAAAATGTTACTAATATTCAACATTAGAATTAAAACTGATCATTAGATCAGTAAAATCAAGTAGAATGAAAACCGTGCGTTATCGCAATCACGTTGTCTTTTATCTAAACGCTCTTTTATCTAAAAAGAAATGGATATTTTATATATCTAATTGTAAGTAGAAAATTATAATTTTGTGTAATATAAAAAATATTTAGATAACACAATTTCAGCTTGGAAATAAAAGAAATATGTTTGTCATGCATTTGCAATTCTAGTATTAATATAAATATTATTTACTTTTGTTTTGTAATAGTATTTTAGAGTTAATGTGAAAGTATTCAACAATTACTTTAAATGTGTATTTAAGTGTTGATTTGCCGCTAGGAAGTTACATAAAGCGACAGAATATTTTCTGAAGCTCATTTATAGATTCTTACTGGGATATCCGAGAGAAAATAATTTATTCTTTTTGCTTTCAGTATTTAATGTGAGAAAAGTAAGAAATATATGTTTGCAATATTAATCATTGAGAATGGCTTAATCATTGTAAATGGCTCGTTACGTCTTATATACAATTTGCCAAGATATATTCTTGATAATATTGATTAAACCGGATTAAAATCCGATAATAGCATCACGTTAATTGCGTGTAAATATGGTGTACAAAAAATATTACGCTAACTGAAACTTCCTGAAGAACGGAAGATGTACATATATTCACTACACAAGCGACATTTGCTAGATTACAGAAGATGGAAAACTTTTACTTTATTTACTTGAATAGTCATCAATTCTCTTAATATTGCTCATTTATTAATAATCGCGGAAAAAACAGTGAAAAACAAAGAGATTGTTTCTTTAGTTCGATAGAACTGTTCGATTCTAGCTTTGGTGCGATGTATACTAATAAAAAAAAGAAAAATATTAAATGCCAAAGTTAGGTGACAGTTGTCACTGATTGGACAGATCGATACTAATAATATTTGATGTTAAGTACTAACACTAATGCTAATTTTCGCAATTAACTGTAAGTTTCTATCAACGGGACCAAAGGTGACATCTTATTTTTACATATTGTACAACGAATTTAGAGTCGTAGAACATTACTGCGCTAAATACAAGATAGTCTTTTAAATCTGGTCAATTGAGTTATGTATCGAAAACGATTGGGCTTAATAGACATAGATTTATGTACAACGTTATCTCTAAAACGTTGAATGATTTATTTTCCTCCTAAACATTAATATAATGGATAATTGTATTATGGTGTAAGATGTGAACATGTACATTTCTGAATACAGATTAGTTTTTGTTGGCATTAAACATCTATTATTTTTTTTGTTTTAATTCTTTAATAACAGAATTATATTCTTCAAGAAAACTAAAACAGATATTGCTTTCTTTTCATTCATTTAGATACAAATAGAAAATTGTAAAATGCGCTATTCTTTTTTTTTAAAGTGATGTTTGGAATAATATCATACTTTGAAGTAAGAACGACCAATATTACTCTGCAAGAAAAGGTATGAACAATATGTTAATTAAAAACGATACATTTTATGAGTTTAATTTCTTGTGTTATAGCCTTTATGTCTTGTTATATCTTCATTGTAAACGCTTTTCCTTTCTGAAAGAATCAAATGTGCGCATGACATATAAGTAGTTCCTTTTTCTCTCACAATTGAATTCTTAGATTTGATTAAGATATATTGCAAATAATAGAAATTAATTTCGCATATTTTATAAAATCTAAACTCAGTGAAATATAATCGTTTTCACTATTTCACTACTATAATGATAAATATAATATCTAAAAATCTATTTGTTATACAATAGAATGTAAAATTTACAAAAGTTAACAAGATTTTTAAATTATGCTTGTACATTCAATTATATATTTTAAATTTCTTTTCTTTTAAAGTTTGTAAATATATTATTTTATTTTTTATAAAAAACTATAAAATGCAGCAAATTTAACCTCATTTTTAATAAAAAAATAGGATAATCTTGATAAAATTTAATATTAAAAATAGAGTAAATTTACGAAATATCTGATATCATTCTTACTTCAAGTGCATGTACGCGTATGTATTATTCTTTAGCACCGAGATACGACCGTGTCTCATGATCATATTCAATAATATGTAACAATAAAGATAAAGATAATAATTGCAACAAATGTTTCGTAAAATATAAGCTGTTGATACAATGGCTGTTATTATCGTAAATAGCTTCTCCGTAATATCAGCTTAAGTTGCATTTTGCGATTTTCATAGAATTTAGAGAAACAGTTGTGGCAAATAGTATATTGAAGGATAGATATATTGTAAATATTACACAATGTCAATATTGCATTTAATATTTCTTCCTTTCATACACATGCTACAGCAGACCTATTTATAATTTATGTAATCACATTAAAGTTATAACGAAATGAATCTGTATTATTTACTAAATCTTTTTTATTATTATCCGGCTTCACTCATGCACTTTAAAAATAAAATTTCTTATTAATATTTTTACGAAAATATATAATTTTAATACATAGGTATGTGCTAATTATTTATATATAAAAATATCGATTATATTTATGAACTAGAACTATTATAGAAGTATGAGCAATAAATGCACATATTTAACATTTTTACGATAAAATACAACCAAGTGTTCCCTTCGAATTTTAAGAAACTTTGAATATTAACAATGTTTGAAATATAGAAAATAAAAGATGTATTATTTATAAGTGCTTTATTGTATGTTAAAGAGAAAAAAACCCTTAAAAATCAGATTTTTCTTTTTGAGTAAATATCGTTAAAAATATAAAGAAATGTTTTAAATAAAAGTTTTAGTTTTAAATGTTTTATAACAATGTATTTAAATTTTAAAAATATATATTTGTCAGTACATCACTATCCTCTTCCTTAATTTAAAAAAAATTTTAAACTTTTAATGACAAAATTAAAGAACATTTTATAAAAACGAGATATGATATAATTATTTTCCGTAAATGTATTTTCGAAAAATAAATAAACACTTCCACATACTCTACGTCTACTTTGATGTATTGTCAAAAATATTTGATTGATTTTAGCAATTTGATAAACTCTTTATTATTATTATTATTACTATTATTATAAAAAGCTTTTATTTTTATATTTATTTTTGTATTAATAGACTATTATATTTACTCTCAACTCTATTTTACACAGCCAATGCGGTATTAAACAAATATATATGGAACCGCATACATAGAAGTATTTTTTTCTTATTTCTCAAAAATACGTTTTATTATGCATCGTTGGTTTCAGCGTAAATCTAATTTTTGTCCTTATAAAAATGTAGTAATTTTTATAAGTTAAGAATGGAAATATTCAGAAAAATATATTTTAGAAATCGAATACGTCATTGTAAAGTACTTAAAATCGTAAAATTTTATTTAAAATATTTCATATCTGATGATTTAGTTACTAAAAAAAATCCGTTTTTTAAAATTGAGAGTATTATTCCTTTTGTGCAAGAAAGCACTTATAAAAAAATACATGTCTTTTATTTTTCATGTCTATATATTTTAAAATATTCAAAGTTTATTGTTATTTAAAACATTTCTTTATATCTTTGACGATAAATATTTACTCAGAAAGAAAAAATCTGATTTTTAATTACGAGTTTTCTTTTAACATTAATGTTGTACAATAAAGTACTTGTAAAAAATACTAGATATCTCTTGTTTTTATCAATATTTTAAATATTAATATCCAAAGTTTAGAAAATTAAAAGAAAATACTTGATAATTTTTCAATACATCAATTAATACACTTATAATTTTTATAAAGTCTGATTTAAAAATATTTCAAATCCAATTTACCAAACTGTGCTTTCAAACAGTTAATACATAAATCACGATCATTAACTCGGGATTACTTTCTTCAAGTAATATGTAATATTTTTATACAAGCATGCATATACAGTCTCATAAAGCTTTTTTATAATACTGAAATAAGTGAAGATAATATGCATAAACAATCCAAATGAATTGTTTACGATCATCAAGCAAATTGTTAATCCTATATTAACGTTGAACTTTAAACCGTATATCATATTGAAAATTCAATAAGTTTAATTCTTATCTGAGATATTGCAATATCATTTTCTTATAAGGAATGATTTCTAAAATTGCTTAATTGCACAAAATTATCACGTTGATTATTAATTTAAATATGAGATAGTATTCGAGATCTATCAAAAAACTAATGTAAGATTATATTAAAGATCCAATAAGTTCAATTTTATTTGAGATATTGCAATATCAATTTATTATAAATGATTTTTAAAATTGCTTAATTGCACGAAATTACCACGTTGATTATTAATATTAATATTAATAAATTTATATTATATGAGATAATACTCCAGATCTACAAAATTTTTGTTGTAAGATCAAATAATAACAAGTAGCGCAATTCGATTGTTATAGTATTTCTTACATATTTTTTATAGTTTATAGATTGTTACAGTATTTCTTACATATTAATTAACTTGTTGCCTTACGATTTCTTTTATAAAATATCCGTATTTTTAAAGAAACTTCAAACTTTAATAAGCTTGTTCAAAATAAATTTTACTTATCAAACGCCAGCAAATGCAATATATTTTTTTCAACATAATACAAGTATATTTTCTTACTATTAAGGCGATCTTGAAGTCGTCAGTATTGTCAACCGAATGTGATTATTTTCAATCACAAAATAAACATAATTAAAAACAACAGATTTAATAATCCTTCTCCACGATTAAAGTATAGAGGCATCAATATAGTTCAGACTAGTAAAGGTTGTGCTGAGAACAAAAAAAAATTTATTTAGAGCTGTCACCGTGTACCAATATTTGCTTCGTAATTTTGGCAATTTGTTAGTACAAAATGATACCAGCCTGAGCTGCGAATTACATGTGCAAACAATGTTGAGTTCATAGAATTAGGTTTGGATGCCGAATAAAAAAGATGCATATATGCTTGAAAATTTGTTATGATATGTGCGTGCGATATCGGTGTGACAGTAAATATGAACACATCACTACACACTACATCAATATCGCACGCATACATACTCACAAATCGTCGGTAAAACAGCGACTTTTGGAGTTTGATTTTCAGTTTAGGATCGCCTTAGTGGATAATAATTTTTCTATAAAAATACACTTTATATAAATCTATTAATAAAAATATTAAAAAATATAATAATTATTATTATATTAAAAACATTAACATTGGAATTTTAGTTTGTTTTAGCTAATCAAGATGGTGATCACAATTAGGATATCTCTCAGACAAAGTACTTGTCAAATTTTATTGCATAAGAATTTGTCATTTGCTAATGGTCAAAAAAAGATAATTACTTTGGTCCAAAAAGTTTTAATTAAAACTCCGTATCAAGATATTTATTTTTAATTAAATTTTATAAATAAAATCTATGTTTATAGATCTAAATATTATAGAAATTAGTCAATCATCAAAAGAAAGACACTGTAGAACCATTTAATATCACTATAAACTGTAGTATTTGTTCGCAATAAGAACAGAAATTCATAATAGAAAGAATTTCTTTTTTCTTTAGGAATTTTTCATTAATAAATCATATAATAAATTGTTATAACATAACAATATATATAACAAAATATATGTAAACATCTGCAACCCTTTGAAAGTTATTAAATATCCGAGACAGCATGAAAAATAAAAAAAAAACAGAAAAAAAAGATTAATTTTTTATCACACATTATTTCTAAAGTAATTAAACTTATGAATTCATTAAATAGTGCCAAAAAATTGTGTTTTGTTTAAAATTTCTTAATGCTTCTAGTTTATGTTATGTTTATGTTATGTTTATGTTACTGTTTTTAGCACCATTTTTCTTAAATCTAAAAATGAGATATCTTATGTCTGACATTTTTACTGTACCAAAAATAATGCATCATTAATTATCAGGTATAGGAGTATTGCAATTTCCATGCCATAACTTGGTTTCTGAATGGCATTCAGAATAGTTAGCGAATATATCTGCATAACCACGATCACGCCACCAGGTGCAGAGTTGCCTGTTCCAACCACAATCAACCAAGTGGATCAGTTCTGGTCTTTCCATGCCTAGAAGTGTATAAAAATCTTGATCGCCTAAATGACCCTGTAACGAAATAGATGATTATTAATCTGATAATTATTAGTAACAAAAATATGAAGTCAAGTTCCTATAATCACTTTTAACTATATACGTATAATACCTATTTCTCATGAAGCATTTTTTTCTAAATTCAAATTTTTTAATCAAAAATTTAGGTCAATTTTTCTTTAACAATATTAAGTACTAAATAAAGTCTTAACTAACAAAAAAAGGTTTTTTTTATTTAATTAATAAAATTGTACTAAATAAAGTCTTAATCAATAAAAAAAGGTATTTAATTAATAAAATTGTATTTTAATCATTATAAAGTAGACTTGTCTTGGATAAGTTGTATTTTAATCTAAGGCTTAATTGTGAACTAAAAATAATATATAATTAAATATAAAATTTTAAGGTTGCAATAAATGATAATTATCCACAATTCAAATATCCTTAATAAAACGCAATTTTTATATAACACAGTGCGTTATAATAAATATTTATAACATATTTATACATAATAATTTTTTACTTTATGACTTATGACAATAAATTTTTCTATCTGCATATACCTTCATTTATCATAACCATGTTTTTTTCTAAATGATACATCATATTTCAGTATCAATTGATATGACATGACATAAAAAATTCTTTTAGTAAGTTGTGATATATTTAAATTTACCTTGAAGTGATATTTCTTGGTCATAGCATCTACACTATCTTTACTAACAATTTTATTGTATACACGCGACATCCGCAATCTTTCCAAATTAAAGAGCACCATCCCACTATTATAACCGGGATATCCACCTTTATGTCGAGGTTCGCCAAACATCGTCTTCGGATGTTTATTACGATAAAAGTACAAAACGTGTCGGTAAACTGGAGTAAGTTCCGGAGCTAAGCCAAACAAAGCTTCCTTTCCAAATTTATTAAATTCTTCGAACAAATCCTTCACATCTCTACGAAATTTTGTATCTGCATCAAACATTATGGCGAGTCTCTGATGATTGGGTGCAATTCTATGCAAACCCAGCGAAATGAAGAATAATGCATCGGAATAATACGTCCCTGGTTTGCTGCTAAAGTGTGGCGACATAACCGACACAATATCCTCCAATTGTGCAGCTAATTTGTGTACGTTGTAATAAAATATCTAAAAAAAATAAATTTTTTTTAGATGCTTCAATTATAAGTTGAGAGTGAACAAAAAAGAACAAAAGAAAGCATATAAGTAGTGTCTATCATAAATAAATTACAAGTTTTATATCAATATCAATAATATATGTATATAGGATGTATATATATAATTTTTGATATAACACTTATATTTTCTTAATATTTTAAATTTTTCTTATATTTTTCTTAATATTTAAAATTTAAAAAAATATTTTAATAGCAATGCTGTATACGTACGCCTAGAGATGTAAATAGAAAAAAAAACCAAAATTGCTTTTTTCATAAAATACATTTTTTTAAGAAAAAAACATAAGCCTCGTTTTTTTCTCAAAATTTTGTTTTTTTCAGCTATCTATTTAATATCTATATTTTACTTAATATAAGTTAATTTAGATCGGAAGAGCACACG